TAGGAAGAATGTATGCAATGTGTTAATTATTGAAACTGTCCTACCAATTTGATTTGAAACAGTCTCATTGCTATTTGTTTCTCAATAAAATTATGAAAAAAAAATTATAGAATTAAAAAAAAAAAGTAGAATGTTCCATTTATCACATCATGTTGGCAGTCAGATTTGGATCAGAGCATTTCAGATGTCAGATTTTGGGATTGGGGTATCCAGCTATAAATGGCCATAGTAATCAACTTTACCTTACACATTCTTTTATTACTCATATTGGTTTGATTTGATAAAAGAAACATACCTGAAGTAACTGAGATGTAAGCAGATAAAATCACCAATTGGCATTGGGTTCCAAAGTGCACACTTTGATGGAGGAAAGTGGAAAGGTACCATTTTGCTTGAAGAAAACCTTTAAAAACATATATTTGAAAAAAATTAAAACACAAAGAAAAACCAACTTAGGAAAAGTTTTATAAACAACAATTATCTTTGCTGAGTGCAGTGGTCCATGCCCATAGTCCCAAATGTTCATTTGTTTATTTACTTAGTTCAGTCTTCTGAGACAGTCTCACAGGCAGCCCAGCCTAGCCTTGAACTTGAAGTGACCCTGAGTGCTGGCAATACAGGTACACACTGCTATGCCCAGCCAGTCTTAGCTATTTAGGAGGCTGCAGCAATAAGACTGCTAGAATCCAGAGATTCAAAACCAGAAAAAAAATAAATTGGAGAGGGTGAAGGACTTAACAAGACAAAAAATAATAAACACTGCCATGGATGTGAAGAAATAAGAACCTGTTTTTAAAAAAGAACCTGTTAGGCTGGGAAGATAGCTCAGCAGTCTACACGCCTGCCTGGCAAGCATAAGGAGCCAAGTTTGATCCTGGTACCACATGCTGTGCTGATGCCTGGGGGGGAGGGGCATGGTGTGCCAGCCACCGAAACCATGTGTGGTAGTGCACACCTGTAATCCCAGTGCTGGGGAGGCTGAGACAGGAGGATCACTATGAGTCTGAGCTGCACAGTGAGACCCTGTACCAAATAAATAAAAAATTAAAAAAAAAAAAAAAAAAAAAAAAAAAAAAAAAAAAAAAGAACCTGTACACCCTACTCACAGAAATATACATTGATGTGGCCATTATGGAAGACAACATTGAAATCCTCAAAACATTAAAAATAAAACTACCAAAACAGGCTGGGGAGATAGCTCAGAGCACCTATCTGGCAAGTACAGGTCATAAGTTCAATTCCCACTTACCATATGATCTAGCAATACACTGAGTATTTATCCAAAGAAAACAAAATCAGTATGTTGAAGAGATATTTGCACTCCTATGCTGGCTGTAGCATTATTCATAATAGACAAGATTTATAATTATCCTATGACCATCCACCGAGAAAAAAAATTATGATATACAATAAATACTGCTCACCACTAAACAAGAATTAAATTCTCTGACAATTACACTGAATAAAATAAGCCAGGTAGAGACAAAAGTACTACAAGATCTCACTCATTTATAGACCCTAAAAAAAGCTGATTTCATAGAACAGAGTAGAATAGTGGTTACCAAAGGCTAGGGTAAGTAGGGGAGAGACGGAGAGAGAATGGTCAATGGGTGTAAAATTAAAGTCAGAAGGATTAAGTTCTGGTGCAGAATTCTATAGCACAGGATGGTGACTATAGTCAATGATGTTGTAGCATATATTATAACTAGGAAGGATTTTGAGTATTCATCATTAAAAAAAAGAAAGAAAAAATTTCCTAGGATTGGCCTGACCTGATAGCTCAGTGGACTAAAGCACCTGCTTAGGCAGAGCACAGTGGTCAGGGTTCAATCTCCAGCGTGCAGTGCTAGCCCCACTCCCAGTACACACTAAGAAGGCGATTGAGACTGGATGTAGTGGCACGTGCCTATAATCCCAGTACTTGGGAGGCTGAAACAGGAGAATAACTGCAAGTCTGGTTCATGTAGTGAGACGCTGTAGACCCTGTCCTAAGTACAGGGGAAAAATTTTTTTTCCTAGGATTAGTGGTATACACTTGTAATCCCAGCACTCTGTGAAGCTGAGTTAGGAAGATTTTAAGTTTGAGCCCAGGCTAGGCAACTTAGTAAGACTTGGTTTTGAAGATAAAAGTAAAAAAAGAGGGTAGGGAATGTAGTTCTGTTATAGTTCTGATTGAAAACCTTGGGTTCAATCCCAGTACAAAAGAACCCAAACAAAACAAAAATGGATAAATGTTTGTGGTAATGAATATGATAAATCCCATAATTTGATCATTATCCAATGTACATATTCATTTATTAAAGCATCACACCATGTTTCATATATATAGTATGTATAATTATTATGTATTAATTTAGAACAAAATAAAGCTAAAAACGAAACTTTACAAAATGGAGTTTGGTTGGAAAGAAAAAAGAGAAAGCAAAGAAGGAAATAAGTCAGTACATTAAATAATGCATGCTTCCTTGTAAGAGCTCAATGTTAGTGATTTTCTTTTTCTTTTTTCTTGAGACAAAGTCTCACTATGTAATTCAAGCTGACTTCTAACTAGCTAGAAGGGCTGACCAAAAACCATAATGCATGTTTACATTTTTAAAAAGTATTATAGTAAAAGACACATTATCATTAATCCCCATTAGAGCCCCCCCCCAAAAGAACACTCTCCCATGCTTCAAACACACTTATTCCATTATTGCCACTTTCAGTAGTTCTGAAAGTCGTCCTCCCTATCTTTATGAGGTGTGAGCAAACATACAGTGAACACTGCAGCAAGTGCTATCCAAACAGGGCAGGCCTTTCTACAGCATGTCCTTGTTCAGCTTATTCAATGGCTCTGTCACTGTGCAACTTCTGGGGAACCAAAGTCAAAATCACCAGGAAATGTAAATGCCTTGAATTTAGCAAGAACATCAAGGCAGCCATGACTGTGTAACTAAAAGCAGGAAACAGGACTCCCAACTGCTTCAGAAAGTGACAAGAATGATAGAATAAGTGTGTTCAAAGTAAGGGGGAGTATTTTAAATAGCACTGATGCCAACATGTCTTTTACTATTTAAAAAAATTGGTCACATAGCATATGTAGCCCAGGCTGGCCTTAAACTCAAGATCCTCCAGAAACAGCCTCCCAAGATTATAGGCAGGGGTCACTGTGCCTGGCTTATGAATTTCTTTTTCATTCTCAGTTGTCCACAGAACTTTTAAAAACCAACCTACAATTCTTCAGGTTTATTTTCTTAGTAATATAGGTTAAAAGTCAAGTAAGGTTTAAATATTAGCACTATCACTAACTATACAACTTTAAATTGATTATTCTATGCTTCACGTTCATCATTTTAAAAAGTGGGGGTAGGTAGATAAAATGCCATTTTACCAAGCACACATAGTATACATTACAGGTGTATACCTGTAACACCAGTACTCAGGAGGCTGAGGCAGGAGGATTGCAAAAAGTTCAAGGCAGGCCTGGGCTACCAAGTGAATTCAAGGCCAGCCTGAACTGCATAGTGAAACTCTTCTCAAAAAGACAGAATAAAAATAAAAAGTTTGGATAAAGCAGGAATGGTGGCACATGGTAATGCCAGCATTGGAAGGATGAGGCAGGAGGACTGCCCTGAGTTTGAGACCACCCCTGGCTACATAATAAATTCAAGGCTATTTTGAACTACATACCAAGACTAAAAAAAAAAAAAAGTATGGCTAGGACCTATTTCACAGGTTGTAAGAATTAATTAAAATACATAAAGTACCTAGCACAGTACCTGAGATATAATAAGACCTCAACAAATGTTACTACTCTTTTTCTTATTCTGGAGTCTATAGGTAGACTTTGGAAACAGGAGACACAAACTGAAACTTTCACCCTGAAATTGGATACAAAATTTTTCATATCTATATAAGTACATTTTCTTAGGAAATAGGGGGCATAATTTTTATCTAATATTCAAAGAGACTTAGAGCTCCCTCCCAACACACACAAATCAGAACTGCTGCCCTAAATCAGGATTACCAAAAACAAGTCACTAAAAGAAACTAGAATTCCTGAGGAATAACCACTGTAAATCACATAAGTATATATCTTTTGTAGAATGTAAGGAATGAATCTGAACTAAAATCAATCTGATAATTAAGAAAATATACTGAACTTGTTGTATAACTACACCTTTCGAAGAACAGACACTGACAAACCTCCAAATAGAAGGTAGCAATGTGGTAGAACAGAAGGGCAAACTTAAAGTAAAAGGAAAATGATAGCCTTCTTGGGTCATATTACCACTGTTTTCATCAAGAACATATGGCACAAAGGCAGACAGTACAGAATATAGCACCTATGGGTATAATTATAATTTTGAAGACAGAAGTTTCACATGTCAGTATTAATTGTTCTTCCCTAGGGAAAAAAAAAACAACACATGATCCAAAGAGCCTAGTAACACAAGGCAATTTGCCTGGCCTCAAAATAATAAAAGAATGAGAAAATCAGAGAACAGCTGGCAAAGTCTTTCGTACATACAGGAGTAGAAAACCTTAGGGACATCTGAAGAAGCTTGGGATACCCAATATGAAGGGATTCCAATCAAGGAATTAGTGTTTAGAAGAAGAAGCAATTCAAACACTTTCCCATTTGTCTAGTATAAAAAATAAATATCTGTGTAATTTTAGCTTCAGAAACTGAAGTACTATTTCCTGCCAATACAAAGACCTCCTATATAATTAAGATAAGTGAAGGAGGGAATGAAACTAATATTTACTAAGTACCAGTTCCTGTAAGTTACTCTTTTGTTTTCTTCTTGGTAATGGGGACTGAACCCAAGGCCTTCACACTGAGCTACTTCTCTAGCCCTTTTTATTTTTGAGACAAGGTCTAAATTGCCCAGGCGGGGCTTGAATTTGTTATTCTCCTGCCTCTGCTCCCGGAGTGCTAGGATTATAGGTGTGTGCCACTATGTCAGCTTTGTTTAATAATCTTCTTTACAGGGCTGGCAAGAAAGCTCAACCTGACACCACAGGCTGAGCCAGCCTGCCCCTGGAGCACACTGAGCCCACCCCCAAGATATGGCATGGTGGCGCACACTTGTAATCACAGCACTGAGGAGGCTGAAAACAGGAGAATCACTAGCAGTCCAAGCTGCACAGTGAGACCCTGTACCAAATACATAAAAATAAATACATAATAATCTTATTTAACCCTTCACAATCATCTTCTGTTAGAGACTGCCTCCCCATTTTATAGATGAGGAACTGAGGCTTAGATAAACTCAATCAAGGTCATCCACCTGGCAAGTAGAAGAACTGGGACACATGCTCAGATTTTCCTGATATATACTCTTATTCATATTCTTCCCAGCACGACAGATCTTGAACTCTTGGGAATTCCTCATGTCTCAGCCTCCCAAGTGATGGAATTACAGGAACACACTATCATGCACAGCTACACTTTCCACCGTCTAAGGGTCATATTCTTTCTTCTCTTTCAATCTATCTTCCTAAGTTATTGTGAAAATAAAATTTTGTAAAACAATTTCTATACCTGGTATTCACCTGGGACCTTATAAGAGGATACACAGACTCCATATTTGATAAGTGATTTATTCAATTTCAAGCTCTCAGTATCCTAAAGAAATAAAGAGACATTAATGATGATTTAAAATAAAGAACAAGATTATTTAACCACATATTAACAGGCACAATTAGGGGCTGGAGAGATAGCTCAGTAGAATAAGGGCTTGCCTGGCAAGTGCAAGGTCCTGAGTTCCATACCCAGTACTGTCAAATAAATAAATAACAGGCACATGAGATGTGACTAGATTAATAAGATTAAATGCTTGCAGATTCTGCTGATCATTTTCAGAGACTGTCAATAAATTAATGTTAACATTTATTTTAGACAGTAAAATCTATCAGCAAATCATGGAAAACACAGATTTTGCCCCAAAATGTTGGTATCTACTTCAGATTAATGAGCTGTGTAGGAAAATCTGTAGGTCATACATGAGATTTTTACCAAAAGCCTCACAATCTTCAGAATTCATGCCCTCTGTGGGTACGCTCATCCATTCTCATGGTATGAACATCCATCTATAGAAAGAAAAACTTTGGGGGCACACCCTGCTTGGGCCCCCCTTCTGTCCCTCTCTTGGACAGGAGCTTTCTTTCCCTCAATAAATATATTCTGTTCATTAAAAAAAAATAAGAAAGCAAGCAAAACTTTGGCTTCCACCTCTCTTCTAAGTTTCAAGTATGCATTGCTGAGAGTCCCCTGCATAGCTTCATCTAAATATTACTAAAGCAAAATACAGACTCCACAGTATTTTCTTTACAGTTCTGTATTTTCTAACTCTTAGGGTTATTAAGTTCTGTGCATTGTTTCAATTCCAGCAAAAAGGAATTATCTGAAGATTAAAAAGGAAAGAATCACACACATAGGTGCAAAGGTCAACTGAAACATTTTTTTTCCATAAAAGACTAAGGCTGAAAATACTTGAGAGAATAAAATCTTATTGAGCATGCCTTTATAAGACTGATTAAAAAGTCTTTCTTAGAGACATCTGGACTTCAAAGGTTTAATGCAACTTCAATGAAATACAGGTTTTAAAGTCTACAGCTTTTCATAGCATTTGGTTGTCATGAGTAACAGCATTCAAACTAGTAACTCTACCCCTACAAAATACACACAGTACAATCTTTCTTTGTTAAACTGTTATGCTTTGAAAATTTGCATGTGTCTCTTACAGTTGATCTTTTCTCATTTTAAAACAATATACAATTGGGCTGCCCAGATAGCTCAGCAGACTAAAAAGTGTCTACTTAGTTTACCCTGTAATCCCAGCACTTGGGAGGTTGAAAACAGGAGAATCACTATGAGTCAGATTTATGTAGTGAAACCCTGTAGACCCTGTACTAAATTCAAAAAACAAAAAATCTTACTGAGCATGCCTTTATAAGACTAAATTCAAAAAACAAAAAATCTTATTCAAAAAACAAAACCAAACAAAACAAAAACTAATGAAACTAAAACCATACAAAACGTATACCTAACTAAACGCAAATAACATCATTGCGCAGTGGATGAAAACCATCAAATCATCCTCTCCTCTTCTTTCTCCCTCTTCCCCCATATAAATTCTTAGCATCTCACAACCTTATCCGACTTCACCAGTCTCTCACCAGATTTACCGAAAAGTCTCCAGTGGTACTAGAAGGTTATTTCTAAACAAATCAAGTCCAGTTATTCTGCTTACGAAGTCGACGATTCTTTTTCATGTACTTAATAAATGACCTTCACAATTCGACCCTACCCAAATAGTCCAACCAAATCCCATACCACGCATCTTGCATCCTAGGCCTACGGAACTACTTGTAGTCACCCCGTTCCAGGCTGTGCGCTGGCTGTTCCCCTTGTACGTGGATAAACTGATAAGCCCCACCACCTAGAACCACGCGCGTCTTTCATCAGCTGTGTGAAATCTCCCGAACAACGTTACTTCTGCTGCTGAGAACACCAGCACCTCTATACCTTGCTGTTGACACAGTACTTCCAGGAGATCACGAGTGTCAAATATTAACTGGTTCCTCATTGTAGAGCACAGTAAGCAGTCTAATACTGTGCAAATGCATGAGCGGAGCATTCAGGGTATCATTCCTCGAAAATTTTCCAGAGAAAACAGACTTACACGGCACGTTTTCGACTACAAACCTTAGCGCGCATACAGCCAGTTCTCCGGGCAGTCGCGGTCCGCTTTCTTTCCCCTACTACCTCTCCTTCGCGTCCTCGGCTCAGGGTGCCGGAGCACTGAACTCACCACAGGCCCCTGCACGTCGCCCACCGTTCTTCTAGGGCCCGGCTGCCACCCCTCCGGCCTACCCGGCGCACAGAACCCCACTCACTGTTGTCTCCGCCGGGGTGGGGTCTATTTGTTGCGCCAGAATCGCTGCTGGCTCCTAGGAGAGCCCCCGCCGACTCGGGCCCCGCCTTTGGGACGTTACGGTCGCGGGAACCGCGGCGGCAAACAGCTGCTTGAAAACCAAAGCGCGCGCCTCGCCTGCAGACTGGTTAGAAATCTGACCAATGGTGGAGCAGAGTTGGTGCCGGCGGCGTTACGCAAATTTTCCGCGACATGCCTGCGTGTCAGCCAATCAGAGCCTCGCATCTGTTCCGCCTTGACCAATTCTAACGATCTTTGGAGAATTGAGGCGGCTACCGGTGCTCTAGGAGTAGGATTCCGAAGATTTAAAAACCTTGCTTTCATCAACTGTTAAATTCCGGTGTGGGGCGGGTCTTGAGCGCGCAATGAAAACCTCAGCAGCGGGGCGGTGAATCGGAAGTCGGAAGTGTTCAGCGTTTAGATGGTCGCCGGGTGACTAGCTTTGGTTTCCTTAAGAGCAGTTCCCGAACGAGGAGAGTAGGTTAAGAGTTTTAGTTTCTTTCCTGAGGAGGAGCCTGTTCTATCAGTGACAGTTTTTTGTTTTATTTTTAAATCCTAAAACGCGTAGAATAGGACTCAGCGGCACATCCCTTGCCTGGCAAGCGAGAGGTCGTGAGTTCGATTCCTGGTACCAAAATTAATAATTAAAAATCCTAAACTGGGTAGCCGGGCGTGGCGGCACATGCCCAGGAGGCTGATGCAGGACTATATCATTACAAGTTCGAGGCCAGTTTGTGCTACGGAGATCAAGACCAGCCTAAACTATGTAGTGAGACTTTGTCTCAAAAAAACCAAAACAACAAAATCCCAAATCGGGCCTGGTGGTGTATATCTCAAATGCCAGTCAGCATTCCTCAGGCTAAGGAAAGAGAATCACTAGTTCCAGGCCAATCTAGGCTTCATAGCAATTTCAACCCAGCCTGGAGTACATGTTGAGAACCTGTCTCCAAAACAAAAATTCTTTCACGTCGAACAGAAAAAATGTGACAAATTTGTAAGCCACTTACATTTATCTCCACAACCAGTAATGTATTATATAGTATGTGTACTTATATATAGCACCAGTATTAGTATGGTCATTTGTCAAGTTGTTGTCGGTTTGGGTTTTCAATATGTGTCCAGGCTTCATATTGTCCAGGTCTGCCTGCCTCAGCCTCCCAAGTGCTATAGATGGGTCTATCGGTGTCTGCCACATCAGTTTGCGTCCTAATGTAGTAATAATTCGTTTTCTGAATGGGTTCCAGGATAATCCCCTCCCTGTTCCCCATACCACAATCTGAAGGTGCTTGAGTCCCTTGTATAAATAAAATGATGTGCTTGCCTATTGCCTATGTACATTCTCTATGTGTACTTTAAATATTTTAGATTAGTTATAAATACCTAATAAACAAATACTATGTAAATCATTTTGGGGGAAAAATGACAAGAAGTCTGAACATGTTTAGCAGAGTTTTGTGGTTTTTTTTTTTCAGTATATCATCAGTCTGCAGTTGATTGAATCTGGATATAAAATGTGCGGATACAGAGGGCCTGTTGTGTGTGGATCTCCGAATACCTAAAGTGTGAGAGGTAATAGTTCCCATAGCCAGTGCAGGGTCAGGATTCTAAGTCTCTTTACGTGTGTGCGCGCACCCAGCTCAGCCCACCAGGGGGTGGGGCTGGCTGGCATGTGGTGCTGGGGTATTGAACCGTGGTCCCTGTGCTTTGTTAAGCTTGTTCTAAGTAGGTGCTTTAGACCACTGAGCCATCTCACCAGCCCCTCTAACAGTCTCTTACTTGGTTCAATACTACCTTATTTTCTGACACATAGGGATACATCTTAAAGTCAGAGCTATATTTGTAGACTCTGCTGTTGAGAATAGCACCCACCCCTTTGAAAGAATGAAAGCTGCATGGATAGCATTTGCACTTGATATGAGAAAAATCACATTTTACATCTGTGGTCTTTTTTAAAATTATTTATTTGTGTGTGTGTGTGTGTGGCCAGCTCAGCCCACCAGGGGGCGGGGCTGGCTGGCATGTGGTGCTGGGGGATTGAACCGCGGTCCCTGTGCTTTGTTAAGCTTGTTCTAAGTAGGTGCTTTAGACCACTGAGCCATCTCACCAGCCCCTACATCTGTGATCTTCTAATAGCCTCTAGTTCTAGCTTGTCATGAGACAGACATCTGACAAATTCTAGTAGAAAATACTTGACCTGTATACCTCAAAACGATTAAACTCAAGCCAGGCATGGTGGCACATGTCTGTAATCCCATAATTTGGTGAGATAGGCAAGAGGATCACTCTGATTTCCAGGTTATCCTTGTTACATAGCATGATTCCCCACCCCCAAAAAAGAAAAGAAACCATCAGAATGTTCCCTTTGCCTCTACTGTGTGAAGTCTGTGAAAAGTGAACCAGGCCCTCACCAGATATTCAATCTTCCAGTGTTGTGATCTTAGGCTTCCCGGCCTCCAAAACTGTGAGAAACCAATTTCTGCTGTTTAAAAATGCCCCTCAGAACTAGAAGTGGTGGTGCACACCTGAATCTCAGCACTCTGGAGGCTGAAACAAAATCACAGGCCAGCTTGGGCTACATAGTGAGTTCAAGGCCAGCCGGAACTACATAGACCTTATCTCAAAAACTGAAAAATCAAATCAAAAATATGTGAAAGCCTCTTAGAGTTGGGCATAGTGGTATGTG